CAGCCTGGGTATGAACTCACTACGTAACCAAGGCTGACCTCAAACTCACAGTGATCCCCCTGACTCAGCCTCCTGAGTGCTGGGATTACAGGCATGCACCACCATGCCTGGCTATATGCTTCTTTATTTTATACTTTGTTCCCTTATTTTCGTTGTTTGTTTGTTTTGAGACAGGATGACGCTATGTCCATTAGGCTGGCCATGAACTCCCTATGTAGTCCAGGCTGGCCTCCAACATGTGGGATTCCACCTGCCTCAGCCTCCTGCACCTAGCTTTTTTTTTTTCTTTCTTTCCTTTTCTTTATATAAGGTCTCCCTGAGTCATTAAATTAAGCGGGACTCAAACCTGTGATCCTCCAATGGGTGGTGCATACCTCTAATGCCAACACTTGGGAGGCTGAGGCAGGAGGATATCCATGAGTTTGAGGGCTACATAGCGAGACCCCGTCTTAAAAAAATAAAATAAAAAATCACTCATGATCCTTACCACATCCTGCTTCCCTTTAAAACTGTAGTCCTGATGTTTCGGGAAGCTTGCTTTTGTTCCAGTGGCTATTTCTGTTTCTGCCTTCTGTTGATAGCTTCTCTTCTGTGAAGCACAGTGCGTGGCCCTTGTTTCTTCCTCCCCGTCCCTCCTGACACCCCCCCACCACAAGGCTCTGTTGAGTGATCTTGGGGACAGGTAGACAGATGGACGCTTCCGTCCTGTGCTCTGGAGCCCTGTGAGGTGGCACTGCAGAGTGGCCTTGCCTTGTGTGAGGGCGTGAGGATCAGAGCAGCGGCCACACAACCCTACAGACGCCAGGGACCTGTTCCCTGCACTGCCTTCGCTCTTACCAGTGGCCTGCAAGGCAGCACAGTGGGGGGAATCAGGCGCAGTGCAGTGCGTGCCTAGCATGTACCTGGCACCATAAAAAAGCGCATTACATTCAGTAAAGCAGAGCCGTATTATCCTTCACTTTGGTTGTCTTCGTACTCTAAATGTGCTTGTGCTTTTACTGTTTGATTTTTTTTTTTCTTTTAGCCCAGGCTGACCTTAAACTCGTAGAGCTCTTCCTGCCTCAGCCTCCTGAGTGCTGACTTATAGGTGTGCACCCCCACACCCCTCTGGACGTCTCTCAATGGCTCCTAGCTGGAGGTGGGGCCCGTGTGGACTGGGGCTAACCATCCTCAGGGCTGGGCCTGGCCTGGGAGCCCAGAGAGGGCAGAAGGGCAGCCGGCGGCTATGCCCAGCTCTGCCTCCATCTCCTGCAGTTCACACCTCTCTCCCCCGCTTCCTGCCTGAGCTGAATTGGGGTCCTGACAGTGGGAGCCCCAGGAGGGCTTGGATCAGGGCAGGGACCACCGGGCAGTAGGGGGAGGCAGCAGGAAGTGCCAGGCTCCGCTAACAAGGCCAGATACTGACTGGGCGTGAGATCCTTGTGGGGGGAGCATGCTTGGGGCCTGAGGTCACGCAGGCCCTGGGCTGTGGCCAAGGCAGCCCCAGCACAGCTTCTATTTCTGAGCTTTGGCTCCCACGCCAAATATGGTGTAGCTGAGTCTGGCACCAGCCGGCAGCCAGGTGGCCGGGCATGGGTCAGGCGGTGCTTCCTGCCTGTGTTGGCCCAGGGCCGTCGGCTTGCTCAGCAGCTGTCCACCTTCTGTCCCCTGTCTGTCTGTCCCCCAATCACAGTGGCTCACACTGAGTTAAAGATGCTCAGGACCACTATACCCGCTCTCTGCAGAAAGGGGATCAGGGCCCAGGAACCAGGGGTGTGGTTTGTACTGCAAATAAGTAAAAGGCATCATGTGAGAACAAGAACAGGTGGGTGGAAACTTGTGATGAATGTTTAAATTAAAAATTGTAGCCGGGCATGGTGGTGCGACGCCTGTGATCCCAGTACTCGGGAGGCTGAGGCAGGAGGATCACTGAGTTTGAGACCAGCCTGAGCTAGATAGTGAGTTCCAGGTCAGTCTCAACTACACAGTGAGACCCTGTCTCAAAGTAAATAAATAAATACATAAAGAAAAATGAATGTATTACAGGAGGCCTGGGGATTTAGCTCAGTGCTGCCACCCCTGCCTCCCAAGCACAAGGTGTTATTGAAGGAATTGGCTGGCTAGTGACACACAAGAGGCAGAAAAATGGAAGTAAAATAACAAAAGTTTACTCATTGACGAGTGTTGATAGCACATAAGCAGTGCCTGGATCGACCCAGTACCGGGCTACAACTCCTCCTTTTATAGGGTTTTAAGCCTTGATCTCATGCAGGTGGTTACACTGCATTTTCATTGTACAAAACATGGTGGGGAGGCAATTGATTTTTGGGGGGGCGGGGTTTGAGACAGGGTCTCACTATGTAGTGAGACAGACCTGGAACTCACTATGTAGCTCAGGCTGGTCTCGAACTCACAGCGATCCTCCTGCCTCAGCCTCTTGAGTGCTGGGATTACAGGCATGCACTACCACACCCACAACCTGGCCAGGCAATTGAATTTCAACCTGTATGTAGCATTTCTTTGTTAGGGAAGGTTACCTTTAAAATTCATTTAATTATCTATTCTAGCCGAGGGCAAGGGGGTGTCTGGTTGGCCAAGCTAACAATGGGTCTTTTCATTTACAAAACTTTTTAGGGAGTGATGCCTCTTTTGTTTTTGTTTTTGTTTTTTGGTTTTTGTTTTTTTGGTTTTTTTGAGACAGGGTCTCACTAAGTAGTGAGACTGACCTGGAACTCACTGTGTAGCTCAGGCTGGTCTCGAACTCACAACTGTGCCACCACGCCCGGCCTAATGCCTCTTTTGATTCTGTGCTAAATAGAGCAAAGGGCAGAAGTTACCTTACATTGTGACATTTCCTAGGTTTTTGCTATTAAAGTGTTCTCTGTCAAAGGTCCTGAGTTCCATTCCAGGTACCCAAAAAAAAAAAAAAGTATTACAGGAAAAGAAACAAACATTGCCACAAATCCCCCTCAGAGTACGCCAAATCCTCTCTTTTTCTTCAAACACACATCCCATCCTTGGCAATGCAACTTTTACTGCCATCTTTTTTTTTTTTTTACTTGAGATGGGGCTTTGCTATGTATTCCAGGCTGGATTTGAACTCACTGTGTTACCTTGCGGTGATCCTCCTGCCTCAGCCTCCCGAGGGCTGGGATAACAGGTGTGCACCACCGATCCTACCTCTGATTTGTCCTTTTAAAGTGTCCCTGTGGCTGCCAAGTGTGAGCTAGTCAACGAGCGAGCGAGTGAGTTACCGAGGGAGAGCTGAGGCCCTGTGTGCCGGGTGCCTGCGATCCCTCCATCTCTCCCTACAGTGCTTTCGGAACTGCAGAGCCCCTGCCTCCTCCGTCTGTCTGACTCCCTGCCCAAGCACCGGTTACCCATGGATCATGTCCTTGACCTTGTCTGTTTCTGAAGGGTTCTCCCTTCCCCGGTGGGCCGTGTCTAATTCTTCCACACCCACTGACGTCGCACCTCATCTTTTACAGATGCACTTGCAGGTACCGAGAGGGCACAGAAAGGCTGCACTCCGACTTCTGGGTCAGGACGGTGTCCCAGGATGGTCAGGTGTCAGCAGTGACGGGGCCGGGCTTCCCTGCCCTCCATCTGCCCACTGCTCAAGCCGCAGGATCGCAGGTGAGGGGACGTCCACCCGGGGATTCCGGGTGTTGGGGAGGGGGGCCTGGGAGCACCCAGGCTGCAACAGTCAGTCCCCCAACCCCTTGGTGCCCAGGATTCCTGGGCCCTGCAATAGAAATGGCACCACTGTCCCTCAGGGCTGCAGAGCTCCGAGGGATGTGACCGGGACCCGGAGGGTGCTGAGTGAGTGGTGGCTGGGCTTCTGTCGATAGTAAATGCCGTGCAGGTCACCAGGCAGCTCGCGGGCCTCCTGTCTCCCAGGCCGTAGGAGCTTGGGCGGGATGAACCTGGACTCCTGCCCTGCTGCTCTCGGGCTGTGGGACTCTCTGCGAGCTCCGGGCCTTCACTATCCCTGCTCCCTCGTCTGGGTGACCTAGGTGAGCCCGGCCCCCGGGGGAGAACGGATGAACAGCCTGGCTTATGCCCCGGCCACCTGTGGCACGCACAAGTGTCGCTCAACACTGGCCACGTGGTCATCTCCAGGACACTGGGTCGAGAGCCATTAGCATTAGTCAAGGTTGCAGACTGTGCTACGACCTCCCTGTGCCTTTCCCACTGCCCACCGGAGCTCCTAGTGCCCGGACAGAGCCAGCGCTGTGCCCATCTGGCTGCAGTCCCTGCCAGCACCTCCAAGCTGCATGGTATCTGTGGGCTGACTGTCCCCAGACCTGGTCACAGGCCAAGGCACGCAGAGCCAGCCCCAGATGACAGGCTGCCAGCCATAACAGGCAGAGGGAGACAGACCTCACCAGGCAGAGGCCTACATGCCCGGTCGCTGTGCCAGCTCCTCTCTCGGTCCCTGCACAAGCTGGACCCCAGCTGCCCACTGTGGGTGACGCTCGCCCAGTCCTCGGGAGTTCACACGTTATTAGGGTCTGTCATCTGAGGCTCCTGTTTTGTTAACATCCCCAATCCATTTTTAAATTTTTATTTCTTGCTGAGACACTTAAGTTGCCCAGGCTGCTTTGAACTGGTTTGTGATTCTCCTGCCTCAGCCTCCCAGAGTGCCAGGATCACAGGTCTGCCTGCCTGAGTGCTGGTGCCCCTCTCTTGCAGACCTGCTGGTCCCGTGATCTGGGGAGACCATGTCCGGGCTCCCGGACCGCCTGCTGCGACTGCTGTGGGGCACCCCCAGGCAGCGGGTCTGCACCCTCTGCCTCGTGGGCTTCAAGTTCTCGTGCTTTGTCTTCGTGGTGATCTACTGGCATGTTGGGGGAGCGCCTGGGGACCGGGGGCACCTCCATACCCTGCCCGTGGACGTGCCCTGCCCGACGCCGGTGTCCCCCGGCCCGAGCAACAGCACCCCACTTGGGGGCGACATCTTCTTCCTGGAGACGTCTGAGCAGACCACCCCCAACTTCCTGTTCGCGTGCTCCGTGGAGTCGGCCGCCAGGGCGCACCCCAAGTCCCGCGTGGCGGTGCTGATGAAGGGGCTGCACGGCCGCACCGCGCCCCCTCCCCGGCACCTGGGCCTCTCGCTCCTGGGCTGCTTCCCCAACGTCCGGTTGCTGCCGCTGGACCTGGACGCGCTGTTCCGGGGGACGCCGCTGGCCCCCTGGCACGCGGCCGCGCGGGGGCGCTGGGAGCCCTACCTGCTGCCCGTGATCTCGGACGCCGCCCGCCTCGCGCTGCTGTGGAAGTTCGGGGGCGTCTACCTGGACACGGACTTCATCGTCCTCCGCGGCCTGGGGCACCTCAGCAACGCGCTGGGCACCCAGTCGCGCTACGTCCTCAACGGGGCCTTCCTGGCCTTCGAGCGGCAGCACGAGTTCCTGGCGCTGTGCATGCGCGACTTCGTGGCCCAGTACAACGGCTGGGTGTGGGGCCACCAGGGCCCGCAGCTGCTCACGCGCGTCTTCAAGAAGTGGTCATCGTCCTCCGCGGCCTGGGGCACCTCAGCAACGCGCTGGGCACCCAGTCGCGCTACGTCCTCAACGGGGCCTTCCTGGCCTTCGAGCGGCAGCACGAGTTCCTGGCGCTGTGCATGCGCGACTTCGTGGCCCAGTACAACGGCTGGGTGTGGGGCCACCAGGGCCCGCAGCTGCTCACGCGCGTCTTCAAGAAGTGGGGAAAAAACGCGGCCATGACGCTGTACCTGTGAGCGGCCCGCAGGGGACCCGGTGCGGGCAGGAGGTGGGGCCCAGGGGGCCCAGGGAGGTAGGAGGTGCGGAGGCACAGGCCCGTCCTCGGCTCAGGCTGCCTGGGCCACCTGAGCATCCGGGGCTGTGTGGACAGCAGGCAAAGCGAGTGCGCGGCTGGGATCCTGGCACTCAGGCTGAGGCGGGAGGGTCTCCGAGAGTTCAAGGTCAGCCTGGGCCAGGTGGCCAGAAGTTGTTGGGCTGGGAGCATCTTCCAGGGGGCTTCAGGAAGCCAGGTGGGCTGGGAACAAGGGCATGGAAGGGCCCAGGAGCCCAGGGTCGGGCTGGAGATCCTCTGGGAGGAGGACTGAGTTCCGTCCTTCATGGGTGGTGTCACCAGCGACACCAGAGTCCACTCTCCGCAGGGGCTGCAGGAGAAGCGTTTGAGAGACACCCGCTCTGCTGTCCTGAGTGGACGGACCCAGAGGCTACTCAAGCCCAGAGGCTCATGAGTTAGGCCGCCCTGGGGCGCGGGGGAGCCAGAGGGAGCCGGTGCTTCAGCAAAGACAGATCCCCGGAGTGGGGCAATCTCCCGCGCACTCAGCAAGAAGGGGCCCTCCGGGCCTTGCACCATGAGAACAGAACAGGTGCGGGGGGCAAGGCTGGAACTCAGCGGTCGGGGAGCCGGCCGGGGCGCTGAGGTCGCCACAGTGATGAACGGCCCCAGCCACACAGCTCGGTGAGCGGCACCCTGGACAGAGCCACCACCCCTGAGCAGAAGCCCGAGCCCAGGAGCAGCTGTGGGGAGATCCACACCGGACAGTGTGTGCTCATCTTACAACAGTGTACAGGCAACGTGTGCTTGGAACTCAGCGGTCGGGGAGCCGGCCGGGGCGCTGAGGTCGCCACAGTGATGAACGGCCCCAGCCACACAGCTCGGTGAGCGGCACCCTGGACAGAGCCACCACCCCTGAGCAGAAGCCCGAGCCCAGGAGCAGCTGTGGGGAGATCCACACCGGACAGTGTGTGCTCATCTTACAACAGTGTACAGGCAACGTGTGATAACCCCAGGGTAATACCTTTCTTTAGGGTAAAAATACATTTTTTAGAAAACATTTTTGTAAGTTTCTCGAAAGGGTTTCACAAGACGAGTTTTCTGGGGTGCAGGCCATGTGGTTCCCACACAGGCACACAAGTCACGGGGTTGTCACAGTTTGGACTCCGTTTAGAACCTGACGGAAGTGGGAAATAGTCTGCCCTGCTCACACACGGGAGAATATGACAGTGACTCCCCGATGCCCAGTGCTCCCTGGTCCATGGAACTTCCAGCTCAGCCCCGCTGGTGCCACTCTACAGCTGGGGAGTGGACAGGCGGCAGCCACTTCCCTGGGGTCTCGACACTCCTGGCGTCAGCCTTGGCTGCTGCCCACCATGTCCCTGCGTGATGGGCCACCAACTAGGGCTGGGAGAAGCCTGTTTTTCCCACCTCAGTTTTCATTCACACAAAGCCTAGAGTGGGACGTGATGGCACACGCCTGTGATCCCAGTACTTGGGAGGCTGAAGCAGGAGGATTGAATCCAAGGCCAGTCTGGGCTGCGTGGCGAGATCCTGTCTCAGGAAAAGCCTCCGTCGGGTCCTGCGAGTTTTCCCACTTCTACCCTGGTGTAAGCCTGGATCTGCTGTAACCTAACTGACACCACAGGGCAGGACTGAGCGAGCCAGGGCTGTGTGGGGGCCTGGCAGGCACCAGGAGTGCACTGCTGGGTGCCAGGGCTGGGCCAGGGAAAATCTGAGCTCTTCAGGGCGCAGTCAGGGCTGGTTTGAGTTGTGTGTTTGGCTTCTGAGCCAGGCACATGGTGACATCCAGGACAGGGACCCTGCCGGGAGCTCTGCAGTGGCCACCGAAGGGGGAGGCATTTGTTGGCCTCTGTACTCTGTTGGCTTAGCTGTCTCCAGGGGTATTAAAGAGCAGCTGATGTCTCTGCTGAAGACTTTCAAAGGAATGTCAGCTAATTACCTTTCCAATCGTAATACGATTTTACCTTTTAATGATTTTTATTTAGCCTTGCTGCCTTTACTTTAAGAATATAAATGATAAAAAATGAATATAAATGATATCTGCAACTATATATTTGAACAAGTCAGGGCTTTTAAAATTTTTTCTTTATTTTGAGACAGGGTCAGATGTGGTGTGTGCCTGTAATCTCAACATTCAGGTGGCTGAGGCAAGAGGATTTCTGCAAGTTTGAGGCCAGCCTGGTGGGCTACATAGTGAGTTCAAGACCAGCCTGGGTTCCGTAGCAAGACTATGTATCAAAAACAAACAAACAAACAAAAAAAAATAGTGTTATCAAGGATTTTGGTGGGGATCAAACTTGGGTCCTTGCGCTTACAAGGCATGTGGCAGAATCACTGAGCTAAATCCCTGGCCCCTATAGTGTTATTAATACCACTGAGGAATACACAAGAGAAATGAAAATGAATGTTCATAGAAAAACATATACACGAATCCCAGCACTGGGGAGGCTGAGGCAGGAGGACCACTGGCAGTTTGAGGCCAGCCTGGACCACGTAGTGTGATTTGTAACAGCCAAGGCGGAGCCACCACAGTAGCCAACAGCTGGAGGAGGGCACAGTGGTCAATCCCAGTTGTCCCCTGCTGGGTCTGGGAGCCTGGACACCTGTGGGGGCTCCCATTCTACCAACCTGGAGGGTCGTTCAGGAGCATAGGGTGTAGGGGCTGAAGTGAGGACCGGTGACCCCCGGGATCCTCTCCCACCACCCTTGGATTTGCGTTGTACGCCAGCACCCCTGGTTCTCTGGCTTCCAGTCTTGGTTTGCTTGTTTTTTGTTTTTGGTACTGGGAATTGAACTCGGGTCCTTGCACGTGCAAAGCAGGTGCCAGAACCGCTTAGCTAAATCCCCGGCGGCTTCCGGTCTTGGACTGCAAGTCACACTGCTGTCTTCCTGGTTCCAAGGCCTTTGCACCTACACCGAGCCACACACCGAAGACCCCAGGGTTTCCTGCCAGCAGAGTCCTGGGAGCCACCTCCCCTAAAAACCCCAGGCCTTGTATCCATTTATAATCCCATTGCTTCCGTCTCTCTGGGAACCTTTACTACCACCCAGCAAGATGGGTTTTTTCGTTTTGTTTGAGAGAGAGTCCTGCTGTGCTGCCCAGTCTGATCTTGGAACTCTTGTTCTCAATTGATCCTCCTGCTTCAGCCTCTGAAGTAGCTGGGACCACAAGCATTTACCACCACACCGAGCCATTAGCAATAAAAAGCAATGAGGTCCTGCTACACCCTTACATACAACGCGGGCAAGCCTTGGGAAATTTTTTTTTTTGGGGGGGATTTCTTCTGAATGAAAAAGCCACAGAGGGCATGATTCCATTTCTAAGAGTTGGCTGAGGGAACACAGCCCTGGAGACAGAAAGCAGGTCACAGGGCTGGGGGAGGTGACACTGGGAGTTTCTTTTGGGGCGACGAGATGTTCTGGATCCGTCGTGGCGCTTGCATGACCAGTGAATGCAAACACACAGGACAGGTTGAGGCCCGTGGTGAAGTGGCTGTCATGTGAACATGTGTGGACGTGCTCACGCCGGGCCTACACTCTCCGAGCCCATAGGACCCCAGGTGCTGTTTGGGAGGCTGGACGCCTGCCTGCAGATTGGCTCTGATTTGACCCGTTCCCTGGTCCCAAGAGTCACAGCTTAACCCGTCCCCACTGGGCTAGCTGACTCCTCAGGGACAGATGCTCACAGAGGCCACCGTGCTATGCAGCCCTGAGGGTTGGTGATGCCTACACAGCCGGCCTCTGCAGGGCAGGCTCGGGGCTGCATCTGGGGGGCCATTGGTTTTGTCCCCGGCCTGGTCTGAAGTCTGCAGCGCAGACAGCTCAGGGGAGGAATGACAGGGACGCGACAGGAAAGCTCAGTGAGAAGTGACGAGCTCCTGTCGCGTGATCCTGAGATACAGGACTCAATAAAAGTGATGGTGCCCATGACGGTGAAGGGCTCAGCGCGCCCGGACGGTACCTTAAAATCAGGTGCAGTGGCTGGGCCTAGTGGCACACACCTGTCTTCACATCTCTTGGGAGGCTGAGGCAGGAGGATCACAAATTAGAGGCCAGCCTGGCTACAGAGTGAGACCCTGACTCAAAAAGAGAGCAGCGAACTGGGGATTTAGCTCAGTGGTTCCAGTGCCTGCCTCACAAGCACAAGGGCCTGAGTTCGGTGCCCGGTACCAAAAGAAGAAAAAGGACAGAAATCCCAGAGTTTTTCACATATCAGCGAAATTAAGACAATTCCTTGCCGGGGATTTAGCTCAATGGTTTCACCGCCTGCCTCACAAGTGCAAGGTCCTAAGTTTGATCCCCGGTACCAAAAAAACCCCTTTTTGCCTTTTGCAATCCCTGGTTCTCACAGTGGTGTGTATGAACTTCCTCATCTTTCTGTTATGAAGTTTTTTCACATGGGGGGCTAGGAAAACCCATGTTCTGGTTGAACAGAGGAGAGCTGGGTGCCATGGTGCACATCTGTGATCCTGGCTGCTCAGGAGGCTGAGGCAGGAAGGTCACAAGTTCTAAGCCAGCCTGGGTAACTCAGTGAGAGCCTGTCTGAAGATTTATAAAGAAAGCAGAGGTGCTGGCTGGGGCATCACTCAGTAGCACAGTGCATGTGAGCTGGGTGGGAGGAAGGGGTCCCCGGGCCCATTTCATCTGCTCTGTGGGTGCCGTCCGTGCCAGGCCAATTCCGTGTGGGCAGTGCCCTTGTGATGCCGATCCTTAACCAACTTTCACTTCTGCATGTGGCCAGCTGGGCTCCTCAGTGAGCTGTCCCCACGCCTGCCCGTGCCTCAGTTTCCCCAGGGCCTGAACCCCAGCCCTGACCCTCACCATCCCGTCCCCTGTCCCAGGGAAGTCTCAGCTGCCCTACAGAGCTCAGAGAAGCCAAATAAACTTAAATATTTCTTCCCTATGAAATGTTACATCCCAGACTTGCTGGGAAAATAAGGCGTTAAAAAAAAACAAAGTCAATAAAAAATCCCCTAAATGAGTGGATGTCCGCTCCATGCAAAAGGGTCATGATCTTTCCTGGAGGTCTGGATCACCCGAAAACAGGCTCTTCCGTTCCACCTGGGTTTTAAATGTAGCCCAACACTAGGGTGATTACGGAAATCTGGGACCAAGAAAAACAGTTCACATGGAAAAGGGAAGAAATGAAAGCTGCTATGTTCACCCTTCTGTCTTCATCTCCTGGTCCAAAGTAGCTGCTCCAAGCCGGGCTTGGTGGTGCACGCCTGTCATCCCAGCACTCGGGAGGCTGAGGCAGGAGGATCGCTGTGAGTTTGAGACCAGCCTGGGCTGCATAGTGAGTTCCAGGTCAATCTCAGCTACATAGTGAGACCCTGCCTCAAAAAAACAAAAACCAAAGTAGCTGCTCCAGCTCCGGCCATTGCACCCACACTCAGCCAGCAGACCTCTCCCAAAATATCACTTCTGTTCTTAGTCCATTGGCTAGAACTTCTTTCCCATAGTTGCAAGAGGAGCTGGGAAAAACAGTTGCTAAAGTGGGAAGTCAGACACTGAGCTAAAAAGGCAGAGGCGTGGGGTCAGGGGAGAAGTTGGGTTGTGCCTGCCACGGGAGATTCCTGTCAGAAAACAGGCCATTGTACCGCATGATTGGCAGGAATGTGTGATGGTAAAACTTGGGAGAACGTTGCATTGTGTTTTTGTTTTGTTTATTTATTTATTTTGAACCGGGGATTGGATTTGGGACCTTGCACTTGCCGGCCAGGTGGTGGAACCACCAAGCTAAATCCCCAGCCCTCGTTCTGTTGTCTGGAACTCACTAGCACCTTGAACATAGTCCCCCTTTGTTGCTGACACCCAAATCACACCCCAAGACAAAAAACAGTTTGGAGTCAGACTGTCAGGTTCGACTCGGGGCCACTTTCCTATTAACCGTGTACTGGCAGCGAGTTACCTACTTAGGTGTGCCTCAGTTTCTTGTGTAAATGAGGGTCATTGGTCGGGCTCGGGGTGACTATGGTGAGAGCAGTGGCCCCGGCACAGTGCTGGGCACACGGGAAAGGTTTTGTAAATGCTGTCATTTGTTGATGCCCCGGGGTGCAGGGACGGCGGGCTCAGGTCACTGGGCACCGGGACACAGGCCACCGGTTCTCCCCAGACAGAGCGGTCAGGCCGTCCCTCTGCGCCGGCCACTCCCTCGGCCACTATTTCTGGAAGGGCACCGTGTCCCAGCCAAGACCGAAGTCCCAGGGCAGCCCACAGGGCAGATTCCACGCGGGGTCACCAGGGAGTTTCTGGCCTCAGTTTCTCTCCCGCGGGCGGGGCCACGGCCGCCTTCCCACGTGGTGCTCATGCGCGGGGCGGGCGCTGGCGGGCGCTCGGGTTCTCCCTTCGCCTCTGTCTGATGAGTGCATCGATCGACTTCGTTGCAAGATCGCACAGGAAACAGGAGAGGCTATGATTCATCCCAGTTTCGAGAAAACTACAGCCTGAAGCCATGTGAAAGGCTGTCCTGGACAGATGTGCAACTGTTCCCGTTTTATAGACAAGTGGACGGGACCAGGGTCAAGCAAGGAGCTAAAGGTCCACGTCTGAACCAAAACCAAGCCCCGACTCCACCCCACAGCCAGATCCCTCCCCGGGTCTGCGCTGCAGGGGCTCAGAGACAGACGGAAAGTAACCGCTGTGCAGCAGCAGGCTGTGCCCCGTGCCCTGGGGACCCCTTCTCCCCCAGGGGGCAGGCCCCTGTGTGCCCAGGGAAGGCCGGCCAGATCTGTAGTCCCCTACGCCTCCTCCCTGGCAGCGCCAGAACAGCCCCCTACCCTACCTGGATTGGCGGAACCTGGCACTGCCTGACCGTGGGCCTCTTTCCTGTTTGGTGCTAAGTGCTGCAACTAGGAAATGACTGCACTCAAGGCCTGGTGCTTGCGAGGCGAGCCCTGCACCGCCGAGCTACATCTCTGGCCCCTAGTACAGTGTTCTTTAAAAAATCCAGGTAGCCGGGCGTGGTGTCCCACGCCTGTAATCCCAACACTCAGGAGGCTGAGGCAGGAGGATCGCTGTGAGTTCGAGACCAGCCTGGACTACGTAGTGAGTTCCAGGGCAGTCTGAACTACATAGTGAGACCCTGTCTCAAAAAAGAAACAAAACAAAACAAAAAAACAGGTATCCTGCAGGAGGGTGTCCGTCTTAGTTTTAAATTAATTAATTTTTGTTGTTGTTTTGAGGGGATCAAACTCGGGTCCTTGTGCTTGCGAGGAAATCCCTGGCTATCCCTGATATAATAACTGTCGCGAGCCGGACGTCAGGATCCTGCCAGCAGGTCCTAAACCTGAAAGGATGAGGACAAAGAGACGGGAGCTACTTTTCTTCTCATGGTACTCGCTGCCCTGCTTTATTACCGAACCTCTCCTTTTATACTCTCCAGCTGCACATTCCGGAAGGAAACCGTAAGTACAATAACAACCATTATGGGTTACATTTGCTAGGCAACAGATCAGACCACCAGTGGAACTAGCCCGTTGCTATGTGCGACGGCACGTCCACACTGCTCGGGTGAATCACAGGTCAGTATGGCTGTGCTCATGTCGTGTTCCTTTACAATGCTCTCCATAAATAACGAAGAGCGGGAGGGGAGAAGCCGCGGGTGTGGCGCACCAGTAACCCGGGCACTCTGGGAGGCTGAGGCAGGAGGATTCCAACTTCGAGCCCAGTTCGGGCAACTTAGCAAGACCCTTTCTCGTAAAAGGGACGTGGAGGTAGCCAGCTCAAGGAGACAGGTGACACTGGGGCGGGGAAGGTGGGCGGCTCCATCCCGGCCCCGCCGCGGGAGGGGAGAAGCCGCGGGTGTGGCGCACCAGTAACCCGGGCACTCTGGGAGGCTGAGGCAGGAGGATTCCAACTTCGAGCCCAGTTCGGGCAACTTAGCAAGACCCTTTCTCGTAAAAGGGACGTGGAGGTAGCCAGCTCAAGGAGACAGGTGACACTGGGGCGGGGAAGGTGGGCGGCTCCATCCCGGCCCCGCCTCCCTCCCCTGCGGCCCGCGGCCCG